CGCCCGAGGCGGAGCGCGGCCACGGCCACCTCAGGGACAAGAGCCTGTCTGAGCGGGGCCTGTCCCCGAACAACAGCGGCCACGACTCCACAGACACTGACAGCAACCACGAGGAGAGGCCCAACGCCTCCTTCCCGGCCCAGGTGATCCACGCCCCGACCCGCAACGGCCTCCCGGCGCTGAAGGATTTCCCCAGGCCCTACGACATCCTCAAGCCTCCTGCCATTTGCCCTCGCGACGCCTTCAAGGTCATCAACAAGGACGGGGAGGCCATGGGGGTGTACAGGTGCGACCACTGCCGCGTGCTCTTCCTGGATTACGTGATGTTCACCATCCACATGGGCTGCCATGGCTTCCGCGACCCCTTCGCGTCGGCGGCTACCGCAGCCACGACCGCTACGAGTTCTCCTCACACATAGCCCGGGGGGAGCACAGGGTCGTGCTCAAGTGAAGGGACCTGTTCTCCGAGGTCAAAACCTGTGCTTTAGGTCAGAGAGGAGCTTGGTTGGGTTGTTTTGGGTTTTTTTGGTTGTTTTTTTTTTTAATTAGCCCCATGAATTTTCTGAAGTATTTTTCTAGGCCAGTTTGGAGTGTCACGAGGAGGTGACAACTCCTTCAGTTCTTCTTTCCCAAATAACTCAGTGTTCTGTAGCATCTCTGCCTGGCTGCTGGGTGAGCAGGACTGTGGGAGACACCAGGAGCAGGCTTGGTTTAATAGGAACTTTATTTTTTGTGAGCCGTTCGCGATGTTTGCAATTTTTAACCTGTGGTTGTTTTTTGTAGGGTTTGCTTTAACTCAGCACAAAAGGGTCTCGTGGCAGCTCCCCCTGTGTGCAGTCAGAGGTATGTTGGAGCCTTTCCTAGTCAGAATCCCAATGGGCTTCCAATGGCTCATCACAAAACCAGGAAAACAAGGGGAGGGATTATTAATTCCTCCCTAAAGCCTTTCCCTAAGCCCTAACAAGTGTGTGGCCTCACCACACCTGCATTTTTCCTACCCCTCTGCTCACTTTCTTTTAAGTCTCTCTCACTCAGTAAGAGCCAAGTAAAACTTACTTGGCGTGGGCATTTTTTTAGCAGCATGAATTTTTGGGTTGCTCAGTGAGGTCACTACTTGGCTCCTCCATGCAGGCTGGGGGAAATCCTGGTTTTCATTGCTGAAACTCCTCCTGTCTGAGAGGTGGTGGGAGGAGGATGGAGCTGTGCTGTGTTGTGCCTCTGCCTTGCTCCTGCTCTGCTCCAGCAGCAGGACACTGGCTGTGCCACACGTGCGTGGCACTGGGCTGGGAGCAGGGTGACCCTGCAGACACTGTGGGACCCACAGAGGTGTGTGGGGACATCCCTGGGTGGGACATGTACTGCTTTGCACTGTGAGCAGTTGCCTTCCCTTTGGAGCTGTTTCCAAACAGCTCCTTGGCTCTCCTCACTGCTCCCCAGCTGTGTCAGTATTCCCTGTGCTGAGAGGGATTTGGGAATGGCTTTGCTGAGTGAAGGTTTATTCTTTGTGGAGTATTTTTGTAGCCCGTAGTTAGGAGTGTTCTGATGGGCTTTCTGCACCCCTGAGTGGTTTGAGAGCTGTGTTGCTTTTGTGTTCTCCCTGCTGATCCAGCTGCTTCCCTGAGGGAAGGCTGGAGAGCTGTGGGGCAAGAAATCCTGGATTTCATCCCTCCCTCTGGCCCTTTCAGCTCAAATAGTTCCTCCCTGAATTTTAAGGTACAAAAAAAAGAGAATTAGACTCATTTTCTCCCCTCAGGGCAGGTCTGGAGAGGGATAAATCAGCCTCCAGAGTGCTGTGGAAGTGCTAATCCAGGATCCTGCTCTTCCTGGGGGTGAGGAGAATGATTTTGCTGTTCTGTGTGGAGCTATCAAACAGGTTTAGGATCTTTCCAGGTTTCCCATCATGGGGCAGGAGGGTGTTGGCTCTGCCCTGATGGACACCCATGTCACAGTGTGACACTCTCCTGAGTGAGGCTGTGGTTCCACCAAGGGCCAACCCAGGGGTGAAGAGAGGGAAAAGGAAGGGAAAGGGAGGGAAAGAATTCCCAGAGGACAAAGATAAAAGGTTCTACAACTGCCCTGAGTTTCTGTGATTAGTTTGGGGAATTTGAGCCTGACATTTTTAGGACTTTGTGTTCGTCTTTATCACTTCTTAACTTTGTGCCAAGCTTGCTTCCAATGGCTTCGTTTACAACACCAAAGAATTGTCAATAAAGGAATAAAGGATCTGTCTAATGTCTGACTGCAGGGCAGGCACAGCAGTTCTTCAGGGAATCTGCACAGAAATGCCACCTGGAGCATCCCAAAGTCTGATTTTCCATGGTTGAGCAGTGGAGCCCCTTTTAAACCACCTTTGTGGAAGTCCTTACAGAACACGCTGGAATTGTCCCTTCATATCCCCTTTTCACCCCCCTCCCACAGTGCTGCCCTGGAGCCTCTGTCCTGGGAGATGGGAATGTTGTTGGGCTGTGTTGGCCCTGGGCAGGTCTCTGAGCTTGGAGGAGCTTTGGAAACCACTTTGCCTGGGAAAACAGAGGGCAGAACTGCTGGTACTGGTTGTGAGCCTGATTTATCCTGCTCCAGGTGTGGTCATTTTGGTTCAGAGCAGATTTGGGCTTGGAGAATTCTCTGGGAATGCCATGTGTCCATCTTCATTTCCTCATGGATTACACCCCAGCAGAGCAGGGGAGCTCAGGGAAGGAGCTCTGAGCACGGAGAATGAGCCTCTGAGTCTTAAAGGTTTATTGAAGTTTACACTCAGAGGTGTAAAGTAACCTCACCTGCTCCTCTGGTCGCTGGGTAAGGGACACAGTTCTGGTTAGTGGTCTGAGAGGCAGCTCAGCACCACTCGTGGCCCGTGGGGGAGCTCAGCGTTCCGTGGGGTGCTGAGCAGGTGGAAACATCCCAGCTGGAGGAGGTGAAGGCTCACACCAACCCCACCAGGACTTTTTAACACCTGCTTTACCAGGCTGATGTTGTTTACACTTGTTTTCATTCCCCCCACACACACACACCTCCTGCCGCAAGACCTGGACACGCTTGAGAAACAGAAACGAAAAAAAAAAACAACAGAAGAAAGTCAGAAGATCCTTTTTTTTTTTGTCTTCCCTTCACTTCCTTCCCAGCCCGAGGGCAGTGCAAGTGCTGAAGGGTCCTTTCTACTCGCTGTGGCTCAGTCCTGGCTTTTCCCTGATCCCTCAGCTCTCTTCTGCCTGGAAAAAAACCCTTTAAAGGCTTACAGAAACCTTCGGTTGGTGTTGTGACACAGAGATCCTTATCTGCTGATAGCTGCAGTCGTGACAGAGCCCAGAGGAACTCGTTTCCCCCATCCTGTTCAAACATGCTTCCAAAAAAAAAAAAAATCCCATAAAACCCTTCCCACTGCTGCGCTGCATCCTCGGAGCATCCCGGGCGGCTCCTCCTCCGCCGCGGGGAGTGGTCCAGCTCCCAAAAAGCGGCGGTGCCGTCCGGGGACAGCGGGTGAGGGAGCTCTGAGTCACTGCCACCACCTCCTCCGTGTCCCCATCCCGCACTGAGTCAGCTCCCGGCGCTCTCTCCATCCCCCGCAGCTGTGGAGCTCCCAAATCCGGGGCCGAGGGGTGAGCAGAGCGCAGGACAGGAGCTTTGGGGTGTCCCCAGCGCTCTCAGCTCCCACCCCACGCGCGG